TATATATATTGGGACATGAGGGGAATATATAATATAATGTAAAATTAGCATGTTATGCATGTACATGAGGTGAGAATTCGCTAGAGATGGTGAATTTAAAAGAGCATAAATACATAAATATATTTTTTAACTTGCCCCCAGTTGTCATGACATTTATGTTCACCAACTTTAGATGTGTGTACAAGTAAACACTCAAATTTATATAAAATTGAATTAGACACATACATTTTAAATTATGTGACATAATACATATAGGACGACATGTAGGATGCAAATTGGTCACGTAAGACATCGCATAGGACGCATGCATATGTCTACTTGTTTAATTTTTTACAAGTTTAAGTGTCTACTGTGCACATCCAATATATATTGAAGACCATAGATACCAACTGAAATCATGTTAAAAGTGCATGTTTATTTTCTATTATGCCATTTAGAAATAGAGATATTATGCGATTTAGAAATAGAGTTGGGTGACTTACAGCTCCAGAAATAGAAGAAATGGAGATGGAGAAGGAGAAGAGGATGATCATGAGATGGAACCACATTTGGTTAACTTGTGCTACTCCCATGGCAGGTTCTTTTGCTCTCCTTCTGTCTATAGTTACTAGTTGTTTCTTTCTCTAGAACTGATAATTAAGTGAGAGATAAAGGAAAATATGATGTGGAGATAGTAGGAGTGATTGTATGATATACATATAGTTTATTTATATTAATGGATCAATGTTGTTTAGAGGGGAGAATATTATTATATTATATGGTATTTGAATTAAGTGGATGACTAAAGTAAGAAGTGTGCTTCATGGCGGCTATTAGCTTGAACTGCAAATTGGATGAAAATAAATTAAGAAAAGTATGACTCGTGACTCATGGCGGCTCCACCATTCTGCAAGTTGTATACATGATTTCGGGATGTTGGTGGATCCAACTATTATATTGCTCTATTATTGACTTCATATCTCATATCTGAATTAATATTTTCTCCCCAACATAATTTCTTGTATAAAAGTTTTTTAAAAAATATAATAATTAGCCTTAAAAGATAATACATTTAGTTAGAATTTTTTTTAAAAAGTTAAGCCGATAAAATTTAAATTTAGAATAGGTAAAACAAGCACTTGCCTCTCGGCTTAGTTCGGAACTTCTTTTAATTAAATGAATCACTCATATTTTCTAAAGAGGAAATTTCAAAAATAGCTTAGACTGAAACACAATAAGGCTTCTTAACTATAGTTTACTTAATTACAATTTGTACATATGTTATAATGAGGAGAGAGGCGAGCGAGATTGGGAGAGGAAGAAGAGAGGCGAGCGAGATTGGGAGAGGAAGAAGAGAGACAAGCGAGATTGGAAGAGACAAGAGAGAACAGAAAGATGAAAGAGGCGAATTGTATATTGTATATCTATGAGATAATTGTATATATGTAACTGGTATAATCATATCATCTAACTTAAACTATTAAAATCACTCTTTAATTTTATATTTTTAATTATATGTTGAGAATGTCCTCCCATATACGTTGGACCGATTCTTTTTTGTATGTCCAATACATGAAAATATTCTTAATAATGAATGAAGATGAGACTCAAATTCAATACCTTTATTTGCTCTAATCTCATATTGAAAACCATCTCAATTATCATCATCAAACTTTCAAAAACAAAAAAACTTTGCTTACTTAATTATATTTTCAATAAAAGCAAAATTGAATTAATATCAATCGTGACAAATTAAAGAACGCACATCAATGCTAATAATGTGGTTATAGTATGGATCAGGAGTGTCAAAACAATTCTTAAAACCGACGAAATCGAACCTAACCCAATCAATTATTAATTTTTAAAACTAAAATTGCAGGGTTTTAATGTATATTTATAATCATATTAGGATAAGTTCTTTATTATATATAAAAAAAAATAAAAAATTTATCAAATGGTATATATATATATATATATATATATATTGTTGTTAAGTTTAAAAATAGAAAATATGAAAATTTCGACATTGTACTTTGGGCAAATTCAGATGGAAGCAATTACAAAATACCTAATCTACCATACCTTAGATGTGTATTTTTAAATTATAATATTATTGATATGACCATGTACATTTTTAGTAAATAGCCAAAGAACAAATGTCAATCAAGTGTTCAAAATTTATAAACTTTACGTTTGATATCGTTGAAATTATTTTTTAGAAAAAGTAGCATCTTGGTGGGTATATGAATGGCAAGTAGTGTCAATCATGATGTATTTGAATTCTTTCTTCCGCTAAAGGTCAAATATTTTATTTGCAATGTTCATTTACTAATATATCTTTGTAAATATAGCATAGTTTTTTTGTTTTGGTTTTACTTTGTAGCACATAATGCCTTTTAATCAACAAAATGGTGCATGCATATTTCTCTCTCATGGCGGCTTCTGAATAGATCTGATATAATATATAGTGCATGCGATAATCATTTTACGATAAAGACGAAAGTGCGCATGTTGTGGAATGACCAAAAACTTTACCTTGCAAGTCGAGTTAGCCGCCACTAGTTATAGTATTTTTCTTAAAATTTATTCTTCCACTAGACTTTTTAATTATTTATAGTGTGAATGAATATTGCCATATAATTTTTTTGACCCTACAATTCTCAATAAAATACCATACCACCCTTGTGAACTTTAATATATACAGTATAAATAAACTATCATAATATCACTCCTATATATCTCAAAAGCATTTCCCTTGAGTTCAAGTAGCCATGGGAGTAGCACAAGCTAATCAAATGTGGTTCCATCTCACGATCATCGTCTACTCCGTCTCCATTTCTTCGATTTCTAGCTCTGTAAGTCAACTTCTACACTATTGGTGAATTACTAAATTATGCGCCTAATTCTAATGTCATGTATACATTCATAATCCAAAATTCTTACTTACAATACCAAAATACCGTTGTGTTATTATTTTGGTGCAATTGTTGAATTGACGGGAAATTAATGCAGGAATTAAATTGTGTATACTCAGTTTACATTCGAACTGGGCAATTCTTTGCGTCTGGAACTGACTCAAAAATTATCTTAACTCTTTACGATGCGGATGGATATGGACTTAGAATCAAAAACCTACAAGCGTGGGGTGGGCTTATGGGCGAAGGTCACGACTACTTTGAAAGGGACAATTTGGATATGTTTACTGGTCGTGGTCCATGTTTGAATGGTCCAATCTGTAAAATGAACTTGACTTCTGATGGTACAGGGCAACACCCTGGATGGTATTGTAATTACGTTGAAGTTACTTCTACAGCAGAGCACAAACGATGCAACCAGAAGTTGTTTACCGTCGAGAGTTGGCTTGGTGCTGATGTTTTTCCAGATGGGCTAACGGCTATTAAGAACAACTGTGGCCGTAAGTCAGATGAGCAATTCTCTATTTACGATTCTCAGTCCTATCATGTTGTTGATGTAATTTAATTTGAGCTTATAGTGCTTTGTTCCCCCAGGCTCAGAATTTCTCTGTTTCTGTTTGTCTACTTTTTTCCCCTTTTCCCTTTTTCAATTCAAATACCTCACATTGTGAGTAATTTACATGTTGATCTGATATTGTATGATTTGTACATGAAGGTCAATTAGGCCAATGGCATGAGTGATACATAACTGGAAGGATAATTTCCCCTTCATAAGTATTGTGACTCGACAACATTATTTTTCTATTGCAGATAATAGACGTACGTACATAACTGGAATGGCAAGTTATAGAAATTTAAATGACATAATATATTAACCTGCCTTTTAACTTGGTCTTAAATGATATTTATATCCTCGAACTTTAGGTATGTACAAATAGACACTTAAACTTGTATAAAGTTGAATAAGTAGACACATATATCCTAATTGCATAATACAAATCAGTTCGAGTCTATCTCATGTGAATTGTCATGTAAAACGTGTGTCTACTCGTTCAACTTTATGGAATTTTAAGTGTCTACTTATGTACAATCAAAGTTGAAGGACATAAATGTCAGCTAAGGCAAAGTTAAAGAACATGTTTATATATTATGTCAATCTAAATTGATATCTTCATTGAGGAATTATCTATCCCATAACTTAGAAGAAATTATGGATACCATTGAAAAAAATAATATTGATGATAAAGTAGAAGATGATACAATACCTTTGAACAAGTTATTGTGAGAAAACACTTATTACATTTATAACTCTTCACAATTTTATGGTACAGTTCAAAAATAGAACACCGAAACTTTTGGATGCAATAAGAAAAGTTAGAGATGAGCTCCAACAAGATTAAAATTTTAGCAAAAATAGAACACAATAGAATAATGTTTCACTAAATTGTCTCAAATATATTTGTGTGTTTAACGAATTACTCCTTTTAAATTATAATATTAATGGGACCACATATTTATATAGGGGGATTCAGAAAATTTATTATCTTATTATCTTATCGAAATGAATGATTTTTTTCATTGACCCAAGTCGTGATCGGAGAAAAATATTATCTTAGAAAGGTTATTAATTAACCGAGTATTAATTTAAAAAGGGAAAAGGTTCAAAAATGCCCTTGTACTATGTGAAAAGATAAAAAAATTCCCCTCGTTTATACTTTGGTTCATTTATGCCCTTATTGCTAGAGAAATGGGCCAAAAATGCCCTTAATGAAACGGAAGTAACGACAACTTCTTAAACAATTTAATTAGTCTTAATTAACATTTTCACTTATTAGATTTTTAATTTTATTTTTTTTACCCTGACCCATTTACCATTTAACCCGGCCCACCCTTCTATTTATTCTTCTTCCAGTCATTTCTAGCTATGCTTCTTCCTCCATTTTCTCACAAGATTTAATTCTTCCTCTTTCAAAATCCTAGCCCCCTCTTCTAGATTTCTCAAATATTCTTAATTGGGTGTAACTTTCTCTTCATTTATGATGATATCGAGTTTGCTCCCGACATTTCATTGTTTATGGAATGTCTCAAGGTTCTAATTTTTCATATAGATATAAGAGCATATGCTATTGTGGAATTGCAGCAGTACTCAATTTCATATCGTGGATTCCTTCAAATTCAGGAAGAAGTCTTTTCAGGCTGCTAAGCCTGATGTAGAAAAAAAAGTTTCTTGTGAAATCTGTGGATTTCTTTTGAATTTTTTTCTCGAATGATGAAATTATTTTATCTTTCGTTACGACATTATTAAAGATGGAATAAGATGAATAGTTATCCCCCACACTCCAACTCTTAAATGATGAATTCACCTACAAAATCATATTTTTGTTGTAATTTTTCTTTACACTGTATTTTCCTTAATTTCTCACAAACAAGTCTCATTTACTCTCTAAAACATGAATTATCCAATATTAAATTATCATCGTCTCATGAGTTTTCATTAATAAATATTAGTACTAGTTAGAAGTTGATTTCTTATTTGTTTGGATGCTAAAAAACAAGTGGTATTGTTGTTGTTTCTTATTTGTTTGTATGCTGGAAAACAAATGGAATTGTTGCTGATTAGTGCCATAAAGTAGGTAATGGATTATGGTGATACAAATTTCAGAGCTGTGAATTAAAGAATGAACATTCAGTGCCCAACATCCAACCAAATGAAGGAATTATAAGTTTTAGCAATAAACCATTACACTAAAGAAGAAGATTCACTGCACATCACAACACCAAAAAAAAGCAAATACTAACAAGACCAAATGTTAAACCATTAATCTAAATAGAGGAACAAGTATTCACTTTAAACCATTACACAAAAAAAATGCAGATTCACTGCACACCAACACCAAAAACTATCAAACACAAAACAAGTTCTAGTGTCAACTGTCAACAAGACAAGTTACACCATCCAACCAATTCACATCCACATTTTAGTGGTCAACTATCACCAAGACAAATGTGAATTTAAAAAAAAACCACCAAAACATTTTCTAAGGTAATATTTCAAGTCCATTCAACCAAAACATTAAGTACAATTCCTAGTCTTTAAAAGTTAACATCATTGTCATCAATATTATCTGGAATTCCTTGTCCCTTTCTAGCCATCATCTTCAATCTCTTTTTCTTTCCTTCATTTTGTAGCTGATGAAGTGTAGTTGCTGCCTTACCTTTCCAAATAGTTTTAGTTGGTGAATAAGGCAAATTTATCAGTAATGACACTCCACTAGCATCTCCAGTAAATCCAATTCTCCTTGATCCAATTGCTGACTTAGGTTTATTCTTTCTCTCTTCCAGCCTTGTGGCTTCAGAAACAACCATTGGTCTAAGTGATGGGTCTTCTTCGGTAC